ATCAAATGATTAATGAAAATAAATTTAAAAAAAGCACTTATTTTTTGTGATGACATGTGAGTTGAGGAGACCAAAGTTACCCCATACGAAATCAAATTTGAATTGAAATTGATACGAACTTGGCCTGAAATGATTCTAAACTGAACAGGCCCATTTTTTTTTAAAGAAAATTATTTACTTCGTTTATCCAAAATTAGTGTTCTAGTTTTTATTTTATACTCCCCTTGAACGCAAATTATTTATAATTTTAAACAAATAGACATTACTCCGTATAAAAAATTTATTTTCTATAATTACATCTTAAAATAATTCTAATTATATTAAATTTATATTATAATTATTTTTTTAAAATTATGATTAAATAAGCAAAAAATTAATTAGTACGATATTTTGAAGCCGGAGGAGGTGACTTCAAAAGATGGTTCATTATCAGTAACAAAAAAAACAAGTGAACCAAAAGTCAACCTTCGAGTAGGCAAATTTTGTTGTGGGCTCAGCTCATCTGTCCCCTTGAGGGCCCAAAATTCGCGGAGTACTAAGTGACCTCTAATTCAGGTCCAGTGGATCGGACGCTTCAGAATGTATCATAGCAAATTGGATAAACAACTTAATCAGCCCAAACTAACTTTGGATTAATGAAACAGGTTGTGAGCCCATTTTAATTACATCCCTAAATTTTGTCTTTCGTAGAACCAAAGACAACATTTATAATAAGATTAACAATAATGTTATCACGTACCATAAATTTATAATAGGATTAACAATAAAAGTATAAACAGATAATGTAATATCTGTTTATACTATTCTCAACTTAATGATGTACAAAGAGCCAACAACTCTTCTTTCACTAGGGTTCGTACGTGGTCGAACTTCCCCATAAATCATACTCCGTACCATTCACGTCAGGAGAGAAGTACTCTGTAATATTTTATCCGAACTAAATATTTGAGTCACGTTTTTGTGTGAAAAAATATCATTTTAAACCACTTGTCATTTCTTATATGGAGTTCAAAAAATAGTTGATTTTTTAAAATAAATTTGTACTAAATAGTACTAAAACATACGGAGTATGTCATTTCTTAATAAAGTACTTAAACATTTTTATTCTATAAATAGTATTTGAATAATGTGTAGTAGTGAGAATAATATCCAGTAATGATAAACATTTAGTTTGAACAATGTCCAATGACGTTAGACATTTACTTAAACAATGGCCAGTGGTACTATATTAGGAAAATAAAAACATATAATACTACATTGATAAAGTCACTATGTTTTAGTACCATTTAGTTAGATTCTCCCTTTTTAAATGTAGGATATAATTTGACATCAACAGAAAGAAGTCAATAGAGCATTTACAACGACTCCACTTTCGCCGCGCTGCACACCTCGAGAAAAAGAATCACGGCTCGCTTGCCGTTGCAGCTCTTCTGCCGTGCCGCACGCCGCGCTTCTCCCCCAACCGCGGCGCAAAGCCGCGCTGGATTTGCGGTTGATTTTCGCGGCGTTCGCCCGCTGCAGGCGGTTCGTCGCGCCGGTCGACCCCCCTTTCTCTTCTGTCTCCTTGGCCGGATCGTTTCTTTTTCCTCCTTAGCTTCTTCTTCCTCAATATTTTTTTATTTTCCTTTTTTAATTTTGAACCCCTTTTTAATGTAATCAATTTTGAATTTTTTAATTTCAATTTTATTTTTTAATTTCAATAATTAATATTCCCTCCGTCCCACTGTCTTTGTCCACTTACCTTTTGGCACACCATCCAATGCACTTCTTTAATCAATTTTATCTTGTAATTTGTATATTAAAAAATTATAGAAATTATATATTAATAATCTATATGTTAAGACAAATCAAACAAGATCACACATGACTATATTTAGGCTTACACATTGAGAGAATTTGATGAGTCAAAGTGCTTAGATGAACAGTTCCAAAAGTCAAAAGTGGACAAAGACAATGAGACGGAGGTAGTATTTAGTTAATTTTAATATTTTTATTTACTTTTGTTAATTTTGAATTTATAATTTTATTTTATTTATGATTAGTTATCTATTTTTATTAATAAAAAAAATATTTCTATTAATTTCTACAGAGTATAAGTTTTGAATTAAAAATGGTGAAATTTACACTAAATAATACTAAAACATATGTCATTTTCTAATGTAGTACTTAATTTTTTTTGTTCCCCAAATAGTACTTAAATAATATTTAGTGGCAGGAAAAATGTCAAGTGAAGTAGACATTTAGTTTGAATAATATCAAGTGGCGATGAACATTTATTTGAAAAATGACCGGCCAAATGCCCTTATGTATGGATATACCCGAGTTGCATGCTCTACCATAGAGAGTTTAAACCCAATATGTTTTACTCCGTATATTACGACCCTAGATATTAGTTATACAATTCCTAACAAAAATTGATCCGTTTCTCAAAAAAAAAATTAGTTGATTCGATCCAAAACTATTGGATTCTGAATAATGATTTTGTTAACTGCACCTGAAGATGACCAACCTCGAAATAACATGTTAAAAAGGATGAAACATGACTGAATCTGAACCAGATTTGACCCGCTAAGAAAAAACATTCTTCAAAATTAGATACTTCAATATGAAATATAACCCTTATAAAACAGTATTATAATAATGCTGAGTATCTTTTCTTATTGTCCATTAATTAATGTATAAATTTATCTTTAGTGATATATATTACTCCTTCCACACCAAAAATTTATTCCCCTTTCTTTTTTTTCTTGTCCCACAAAATCCTTCCCTATTCTATTAAAAAAATCATTTTTACACATACTAATTCTTAACCTACCTATCACATTAGACCTTTTTACTAATAATTTACCCATGACATCATACTTTAATTTTACATATCACATTAGGATTATTTTTGAAAAGTCAACACAAAAATACATCTCCCTTAAATTTCCTAAAAATCAAAATGGAAACATTTTTATGGGACATGAAATATGTTGTTAGAAAGCATACATATTTCAAATTTTAAAATATTGGTATATACTTCATATATCTAAAGTTACTTAAACATGACTTGTATATATATACTTTTACAAATTAATATAGAAATAAAAAATAATCTATACATATAATTAAAAACAAGTAACATTGTTTAAAAAAACAACATTAAGAACTCTACAAAACAAGATATGACAAAAATATTTTATTTTATTAAATAATCAATGAAAACATACAAACACACGATAGATTTTGAGTGACTCTAATAGTAATAATGTAAATCATTTTGGAATGGAGGGAGTAGTAATTCAATACACAATTACAAGAAAATCCAATATGGGACCCAATATCTACGTCTAAGCTCATTTATACTCCGTATAATATACCCGCTAACATAAATTACCTTTAAATTTTATATTTATGACAATAAAAAGCAAAACGGCCAAACAAAAACTTTTTTTGATTATGGGCCAAATGGGGTAATTGAGAGAAGTAATACTAGTAGAGTCACAAATAAAATACTCACAAAAATGTACAAACTTATCATTTATGTATTTTAGTTTTTATTTTTTAATTATTTGAGATTATTATTTTAATCTATGACTTGACATATTCGATAAGTTTATTGTGAATGTTTTTTGTTGTAGAAGAATGTGATAACAATTAACATAGATGTTCAGTTTCTTGCTTTGGTTCAAACGTACGTAATTGGATCCACAACAGACTTTTCTCGTTTCCAAGAAGAATATCTTCATACTCACTTTAATTTGCCTTAAGAAAAACAAAGAGTGAAATGTGGCCTTTGTATGTCTTTTTATGCCACCAAAGACTAGGTAGAGATCGAGAAGAAGCTTTTTGACTGGGACTAGGATCGGAAGTAATGATGTGAAACTAGCTAGGTAAATATACTATTTGTTCCTTGTTTCTCGGACCATAAATTTTTTACTATAATACATACGGAGTACTTCTTTTTTCTCAAAGTTATAATTTCTTTTCAAACAACGTATAAAATTTTATGCCATTCAGATAAATTCTAAAAAAGGAAAATCGGTAAACACTAACCATTTGAGACGAAAAAAAGTAGAAATGCACAATGTGCCACCCAATTAGGAGAGGTGGTTAAGGGTATTTTAGACAAAGTGTAAAGGCAATAAGAGGGAAATATGGCAATATCAGCTCTCTTGAGATTAGGAATATGGGAGAATGAGTCAAGGGTGCCCCCTCAGGGCACTACTCAGCACTCACTTAATAAAGATCTAAAGTGTTGTTATGACAATTTTGTATTATTAATACTCGTATTAGACAAGTTGTAGAAATTTTGTAACACTGATTAATTGAGACATCTCATGTGATTTACCTCTTCTATCAATCTAAGATAATTGTTTCAGACACTCCTAAGGTGGGGTTTTATTTTTTTTAGAATGAGTCAAGGGTAACATTTTCACTTTTTAAACTTCTTTTCTTAATCTTCTCAAATTTCAAAGTCTTCCAACTTGAATATAGTCTCAATCTACCATCTTTTTACTAGAACTACTACATTAAATTGCCTATTAGACTAGAATTCAAGAATTGACTCACCAAAAGTGGCACTTTTTATTAAAAAGAAATTAATCGAGCTCGAATCCGACCTGATCGACCAGTCTGTCTCTGTTAGCTCCACCTAATACCTATCAAGCACTACAATTCACTAATGCCCCAAATTTTGCACTATTAAGCACTGCAATTTTGTTTAGAAGTAATTAAGCAATCTCCAAAACTTGACCCACGGAAAACAAAGGGATAAATATAGAATGTTGGGTGGGATGGAAAGAGTGTTTCTTTATTAGTAAAATACAGCAAAGAATAAAGGTGGGACACCTTTAATTCGATCCTGGTAAATTCTTCCTCATACTCACCACATGCATTCCACTTTCCCACTGCCATTCAAATGCCTATTTGGATCCCAAAGTTTTGCCTCACCCTCAAGAAAAGAACTCATCTGATCTTATTAGCTAGCTACCTCTTCTTACACTAATAGTCTTTCTACATCTCTCTCTCTCTCATCTAAACTTCCTTTTTATGTCAAGACTTGAAGTTCTACCCAAGTGAAAAAAAGAAGATATGAGAGGGTTCATAGTGCAGCAAACCCTAACACCAGAAGCTGCAAGTGTGGTGAAGCAAGCTATGGCGCATGCAAGGAAGCGGGGCCACGCACAAGTGACCCCACTCCACCTTGCAAGCGTCATGCTGGCTTCTCCCACAGGATTGCTCAGAAGAGCATGTCTCCACTCCCACTCTCATCCCCTACAATGCAAAGCCCTGGAGCTCTGCTTCAACGTTGCCCTAAATCGTCTCCCTTCGTCGTCTTCTTCTTACTCTACTTCCATGTTTGGCCCTCACCCCCAAAACCCTTCCGTCTCCAACGCACTCGTCGCGGCGTTCAAGCGCGCTCAGGCTCACCAGAAGAACCAGCACCACCAGCCACCCGTTCTCGCCGTGAAGATTGAGCTGGAGCGGCTCCTCGTCTCCATCCTCGATGACCCTAGTGTGAGTAGAGTCATGAGGGAGGCTGGGTTCTCTAGCATCCAAGTCAAGTGTAGTGTTGAACAAGCCCTTTACATGGAACTCTCCTCTACTCATCATCAAAACCCTAAAACTACAGGAAACCCTAGCCAATGCAAAGCCAACCATGAAGATGTGATGAGTGTGGTTGAGAGCTTGATGAACATGAGGAGGAGAAACATTGTTGTGGTTGGTGAGTGCATTCAAACCCTAGAAGGTGTGATTAATGGAGTTATGGAGAAAGTTGAGAGTGGAGTAGATTTGTGTGAGGGTTTAAAGGGTGTTAAGTTCATTAGTGTCCCACTCTCTACTTTTAGCAACATAAGGAGAGAAGAGGTTGACCAAAAGATTGGAGAGTTGACCTGCCTTGTCAAGAGCCTAGCTTCAAAGGGAGTTGTTTTGTACTTTGGAGACCTCAAATGGATTGCTGAGTATAGGGCGGCGGACGGGCGGCGATCCGGCGGCGGCGGCTACTGCTCTGTGGAGCATATGGTCATGGAGATTGGGAGGTTAATAATGTGCAGTGGTGGCTATAATAATAAGGTTTGGGTGGTTGGGATTGCAACTTTCCACACTTTTATGAGGTGCAAAAATGGGTACCATTCTTTGGAGTCTGTTTGGGGTTTGTACCCTTCTTTTGTTCCTGCTGGATGTTTGGTCTTGAGCCTCAACCCTGCTGAAAGGTAATAAATTTAAAAAAAAATTACTTACTCTTCTTTTTTTTAATACTCGCTCCGTTTCTTAAAACCCTTCCTCTTTCATTTTTTTTGTTTTTCTTAAAACACTTCCCCTTTCTACTAAAAAACCACTTTTACCCCTACTTTTTCATACCCTACCTATCACATCATACTTTTTCACTAACAACTAAACTATCGCATCTTACTTTTACCCATCACATCAAGGGAAAAATTGGAAAGTCAACTACAATTTAACACTTCCTTATTTTCCCCCAAAGTCAAAAGATGAACTCTTTTGAGAAACGGAGGGAGTAGTTCATTTTATTTGGAATGGGAAAACCTAGAAAACCCAAAAAATTACTGCAGTAAAAGTAGTAGTGGTAGTAGTTAGTGGTTGCTTTCATTTCTCAAAAGACTACTTCTAGTTCTACTTTTTCTTGTCTTTGTTTTGCATAGTTGTTTTATGTATGTGCCTAACAATGACTGCCCTTTTTTTCAAGTTAAATGTTTAATTATAAGAATGATTATTTTATTTGAATTCAGAAAGTGATATATTGATCATGAAACTTTGTTCATTTTAGGGATTTGCAAGTTGATGATCAAAGAAACAGCAAGGAATCTGCAGAAAATGGGTCCTCTTTGATGATGCTTGAAAACAAACACTCCCTACTAGAAAGAAACTTAAGTTTCCCACCACCTTCCCACTTCTCCTCTTCTTTCTTCTCACATGATAAATACCAAGAATACCCTTCTTTGACAATGCACATTTCTGGGAATTCCAAACAAGTACTCCCATTTTGGTCTAACCCCAACCCCACCCCTACTTCTCCGACCTCAAGCGAAACCATGGAAACCGAATACGTCCCCAGGTTCAAGGAACTAACCCCGGAGAATATGACCGCTTTGCGCGTCGCCTTGGAGGAAACGGCCCCTCGCCAGAAGGGCATTATCGGCAAAATCGCGAGTAAAATTTTGCAATGTAGATCAAGGGCTGAGAGAGAAGAGACATGGCTGTTTTTCAATGGCCCGGACGTCCACTCGAAGGAAAGGATCGCGATGGAGCTCGCTAAGGTCGTGTTTGGCTCTCCCTCAAAGTTCGTCTCCATCAGCTTGAGCAGCTTCTGCTCCACAAGCCGAGCGGAGATGAATAAGCGAGGGAGAGACGAGCAGAGCTATAGCTACATTGAGAGGATTGCGCGCGAAGTTTCGTTGGATCCCCACAGAGTTTTTTTCATAGAAGATGTGGAGCAAGCGGATTATTGTTCCCAAACAAGACTTAAGAGGGCAATAGATAAGGGTAAGATTGTCATTGGTGGAGGAGATGAGAAAGAAGTGAGTTTTGGAGATGCCATTATCATATTCACATGTGAGAGGTTTAGTTCAAAGTCTAGGGCTTGTTCTCCTCCAAAGAATGAGATATTGTCAAGTGATGATTATGACAAGGAAGAAACAATTGCTTCAAGTTCTTGTGGGCTGTTGGATTTGAATATCTCCATAGACAATCTTGATGATAGTCTTGAAGAATTTAGCCTTCCTGAAACCGTTGATCTATGCGTTACGTTTAGTGCTAAGACTCGAGAAGAGGAGGACGAGGGCGAGGACGATACAAGCATTGTATGATTAAAAAAATGGATATGTTGACAAGTTTTTAATTTGTTGTCCATTATACTTTTCATTATGTTCTCTTCAAATATAGTTTGTTTTGTAGGAAAATGAAATAGAGAAAACATACTCTTTAGGTCTATTTAAGCGTATTGGTTGAGTTCGTTCTATTTTATTCTTTAGTCATGTGAACTTTGGTCTTCTATTTATTTGAAAACTCTATTTAATTTATAATCAAAGGTTATCTAGTTTGATCGAAGAAATTAAAATCAAATTGGATGAACGAAAATACTCCGCTTAGTTATACTCCGGAGTACTTAGCTTCAGAACTAGTTTTTTAATAAAAATTTTGGAGTGTAAACTTGATCATTTTTTCCATTATGTTATTAGCTTGAAAATGAATAAGAAACCACCTAAATAGGAGAAAAATGTAGAGTAAATGTATATTAAAATAGAAGCTCTATATTTTATTCTCTAAATAAGATTTTGCACTGTGGTAATATGACACTGTGTATGGACATTAATTATATTTTTTGGTAATGTATTTAGTAATGATTGATACTGTAAATGTATTTTAAATCCTATTTCGAGAATAAAATATCTAACTCTTATTTTGATATATTTTTAATATTTACTTTTATTTTACTCTTTTTTTCAAAATGAATTTAGAAAACCATTTTCTTCAAGTTCTAAATTTCATCTATACTTTTATAATTTTATTGACTCAAAATCAAAATTGAACAAATAACTAATAGAAACGGAGTGATGGGATAATATCCCTGGGCCTAAGAAAAGATATAGGGCCAGTCCACAAGAGGAGCCTGTTAGGGAACCCTAACCCTAGGCTCCTACCTTGATGCTATATAAGAGACACATGACCAGGAAGAAGGGAAAGGCCGCCTTCTACATCCCCACATATTGTATTTACCCTTTTCATCTTCTCCTCCTCGATTGGGCTTCGAGCTCCATCAATAGCGGTCATGTCTGTACAAATATACCCTCGATATATAATGAAACATTCCAGTTGGCATGGTACCGCCAAAAAAACCTACATGTGGTTTTTCACCGATTTGGGTTCCACGTCAAAGTGTCTTGTTTATGTTCTTGTTTATTTTTTTTCTACATTTTACACTCATAATGTATAGACCAAAAAATATACACCCGGGGTGTTTTGGTCTATCACGGAGGTAGTATTATTTCTAATTATGATGAACCAAAATAGGCGTATAAATGTTGTTTCTTTATAACGGGAGAACTTTTTTATTTAGTCCTTTATTATCAAATATTACTCATGTAACGCCCAAAAATATACCCTAAAATTTCTTGAATTAAATATTCAATTAAACAAAATTTGTTTTGATTAAAATAAATTATTGTTGGGCTTTGAGCCGAAATAAAATGTGTTTTGATATCTAATATCACAAGCAGGATAAATCTCATAGAGATAAATCCAATTAGTTGACTTATTGTGTGATCTTGATTGGGAACCTGAGTACATACCCAAATTAAGAATAAATGAAGAAATTGTTTGTAATGTGAACTTTGAAATGATTTATTGAAATAAATCATGGGAATAAATGATATGAATTAATTATGAGAACCTTTTTGAATAAAGGTCAATTGAATCAATTTTGACTCTGTCAAAGTCAAACACTCAAAAATATGATTTTGGAAAAAGTATAACGAATAAATGTAAAAATTATATCGTTGGATAGAGTTTAATTTCACGATCGCAACGGTGCAAACGGATTTCAATTCGGAGAAAGTTGGATCAAAAAGTATATCCCGACTGGAACCAAAATTGGTCCCAATCAGGTAGAGGCGTGTAAATCCCCAAGTGCGCCGTTCACTCCACTATCGCCGTTCGAACAGGAGAAAGGTGACACAGCATCTGGCTTTTTTTCCTTCCTTCTTCTTCTATATAGGTGAACACATTCCTTCTCAAATCTACACAAAACTTAATGAAATTCATCCCATGAGAACCTAGAGAGTGAAAGGAGTAGTTTGATAGTATTAATTGCCATTGAGGTCGCTGGAGAAAGCTGTTGTTGCAGGAAGTATCGCAGTTCAATCACCGGAATCATCGTTAAGCTTCAAGGTAAGCCCGTTGATATATTTAGTGATTAGAATGTTCATATAGATCGTTTCTACGTTCATAAACGGTCGTTTGGTTGAATTTTGTGTTTGACATGTTTGAAGAACCAAGAATCATAAACTTTGAAATTGTTGTTAAAACTACAAATTAATGGTACCAAAATGATCTATGAACCTTGGAGAACCTTTTTGTATACTTTAATTGAAGTTTGGGAACTTAAAATGACATTTCCGCAAGTTGGCTCGAGGTAGAAGACGATGGATAATCGATTATCAACTTGAAAATCGATTATGCATCATTCTGCAGATTTTTGGAACAAAGCTGAGCAATAATCGACTGTCAGAATGTGATAATCGATTATCAGCTCTCTCAGAAGTTTGATAATCGATTAACAGAGTGTGATAATCGATTATCAGCTCATTCTGAACATCACACAGTAGATTATCAGAAGTGACAGTAGACTGTCTCCCTACACTATTGAAGAAAACAAAGCTAGTAGTTAATAATTGAATTTCTTACCATATATTAATCAATTATTGTTTAGAAAACATGATTTTTAAACTATGAAATCCTATTTTTGATACCAATTGATTATGATCTTTATAAAGGTGAATTTTCATAATAAAAATGATATTTTTGACAAATAAAATCTTGTGTGATGCATGACGGTAAGCTAGGGTGTTAACACCCGAAGCTAGGCCGCTAATTGTTATTGAATATTATGTTGATTGATGATTATGGTAAT